GAGAACCCAAACGCGGCAAGTGAGCCCAGGCATCGAATTCAAGTGTTCATCATGGAATCTCATGATCGGATCAACTTGAGCGACCTTGTCGCTAGGGATAGTAGCGATCAGATCCAGGGCACAAAGAAGGTTCGATTTCATTATACCGGCAGTCCTGGCGTGGTCCGCGAGCCAGCCGCGGCCGTCGCTGCTGGGGTTGGTGACATGGTACTTGACTCCACCGGTGACTCTGTCATGGAAATACAGACCCCAATGAAAGTCGTTCTGGCCAGGAGGGTCATTACGGATGTGAAGAACAACGTAGAAGGTGTTGAGTGGCAGTCCAGCGAGGATATCGTCCTGGATCTTGCGGATGGCTGCAATTCTTTCGCGGGGATTCAAGCCAGTGAGATCGGCACTGTACTTCTCGGTCAGGTTCTCCATTGCGGAATTGCCTGACTAGAATGAGCGGAAGTGCGTGTTTTCGTGAAAAGTGTCACACGGTTTATCCGCTTGGCAAGTGAAATACGGGGTTTTGGAAAGCTTGACAGTAGCCCTTTTGCTTGTCTAGATACATGAGTGATCAGCGAATGCATCTCCAATCGCGCCATGAAGGATACGTACTTTGATCTTCGTAACGTGTTTTTCCCACCCCTCGGTTAAAGCAACCTTCGAGGGTGTGCGTGAGATCTTCAACCAGGATGTTGTGAGCAATCGTGTCAAAGTCCAGCTTCGTATGAGTGATACTAATCTTGAGAGACGTTTTAGAGTGTCGTTGTCAAGGCAGGAAGTTTTGGAGGAGAGAGACACAGGCAATTACTGAGTACGGAGCCAACGATATTGATTCAGTGACCGAGTTGCTGAAGTGACAGTGATTTATTCTGTGTTACTTCTACAGGGCCATCTGACATATTCACTTAAGACCATCTTTCACTATGGATCTCTCTGAGCTGGACTTCAACCTTACCTTCTGTCCTGATCAGATCTGTTCTCATCGTCCATGATAACACAAATTAGCTAGGCGACTGACATCTCGATCAGTGTTATGCAAGAGTGGAGACGTTTTTTGTCACAATCATAGGTCCCCCCAACAGGTGAAATTTAGTCTGAAACTGTCTAGAGGTGTTTATTGGGGGCGACACTCGGACTCTTTGCGCTTCATTTCTGATTGTACAAACAGGAAAAGGGAAATGCGTAGTTTTTCACAACTCAGTTAAATGCATGACTAAATGAATATCGACATAGGAGGAATGAGCACTAAGGCATTAAGCACCCAAGCAACTGCCAATTCAGATCAACGGGCAATGCCTTGCAGTATGCTAAGTTGGCTGCTCTTCATAATGTTTGGACTGTTTGCACGAAGATTCCATGGCCTATTTTATACTAGTCGTTTGATAAACGCAGGGATCACTGGGTTCACCATCCTTCGAGACTACAATGCTTTTTCTTCAAAGCAGTAGTCAATTTTATGAACAATACTCCCTACTGCTGGTAATGATTACATCCAGAGCTTCATGGGTGTTCTCGAGACATGAGTTTGTGAGTTGGGAGTATCGAGAAAAGGTTCTCTGGCCTGTATGTAATTGGAGGAAATAGGTTTGGTCGCCTATCTACCGCCTTGCCAGTCACAAATGCGATTCCTCAGAGAGGGAGCCATTCTCGAAGCCTTAATAAAGATAGAAAGCTGATTTAAATGATTCAAGGCATAGCATACCACAGTTTTTCTGCGCACCAAAGATACGATCGAAAGTCCTTGCCATCAAGTCGGATTCCCTGGCGGCTGGCGTAGCTTTGCTGGGCAAACTTGACCTGAAAAGGCCTGGGTTGGGCAAAGGAACCTGAATCATGCTGCGCGATCAGCATCTAGTGGACGGTGTCCATCACAAATGTGCATTACCTAACAAGAGCCTTGTATGTTGAAGGGCTATCTCTTGTTCCAGCTGCTTAGGCTACCGTTGCCGATGTTGTTGAGATGACTGTTTAGAGCCATGAAGCCTTTGTGACACGAGAAGTGCGCATCATCCCTAGCAGAACGGTCACCGTATTAGAGAAGTGTACCAGCTTTTGCAAGGGAGCCTTTTTCCGATCAGCCCATTTAGGCTTCTTGAACCGACCTCGGCGGCCCGTATGTCAATCATGCCCAAGAAAAGCTTGGGCTGTTCAATGATCCGGATATTATCTTTTCCCCCCATCATGCGATGATCCGAGCAGGGGACCATGCTTTTATGACACCGCGGGGTAATCCGGCCTTCAAGCAACCATTCGTCGTGAAGTTTACTGTTTCAAGTCTCTTCGTCCGGGTCTACAGCGGAAACCGGCCTTGATTGCCGTTCATGGACAAGGTGGATGGTCTCCGCAAGATTTCCCCGCCCTTTGCAACTCCACATTGCAGGCAAAAAGTGGTGCCATCCCGCAAGATCCCTTGTATACTGCGTTCAAAACAAGGATTCGTCTACAATGGAGTTGAGCTTAGGGCCGCTATGTCATGGTGTAGGCCTATAAAATGGGCCCTACTTCCGTGTCTTTTTTTCTGTCGTTGTATGCTACGGAGTCTCATTTGCATAAATCATCCTGCCATAGGTCTTTTCTCAGCGTCATGAGGTATTCTAGTCTTGGTCTTCTGAGCTTGGCCACTCTGGTATCAGCCAGTGCAGAAGACCCTTACTATGCGAATTTGACATGGGAAGCCCCACGCACCTTGTCGAACTGGTCGAACTTGACTGTCGAGACGCACACTGGAACTTTCATTGGCATGCTCAATGATACCTACCCCCATGTTCGACAATTCCTTCGAGTTCCATATGCGCAGGTACATTCAAGCTTTTCTCGGACGATTCTCATACCGCATATTGATCTTGTCTTCTTCAGCCTCCCGTTGGGGATCTACGTTGGATGCCTCCGCAAAAGCCGCAAAGGTCCAAGAAGCGGATCGATTCTACCTTTTATGGCCCAGGTAACTCCCTACGGTACCCATAAGATTTGTTCCTCGGCGTCCACTCACATCCTTGAACAGCTTGTCCTCAGTACGTGACTGCGCCAGCCAGTTTCTGGAATACCTACGAGCCCCCCAATGTGCTGCTCAACATCGGCGAGAAATTGGATCAAGGCTCCACTGCCTGGTCGTCGGCCGAAGATTGTTTATCAATGGCTATCTGGACGCCTGCTTCAGCTAATCGCACCTCTAAACTCCCGGTGGCGTTATTCGTAACAGGTGGCGGCGGTATCACGGGTGGAATTGATATTCCCTCTCAGCTGCCGGCACATTGGGTCTCGCGATCTCAGGAGCACATTGTGATTACCATTAATTATCGATCAAATATCTTCGGGAGTGGGTTGACTTTACTACCAGGCGAGACCTTGACTGACCTTGTTTGCAGATCCCAAATCCCGGGCATTGAATGAGACCTCTTTGACCCTGCTAGATGTCAGAGCTGCAGTCGAATGGGCCTATGAGAATATCGAATCTTTTGGAGGAGATGCTGAAAACATAATGGTACGATTTTCAGAATTACCCTCTACTATATCTAATCTCTGATTGGGCAACTAGCTGTGGGGTCAATCGCAAGGAGGTATCTTGACGCATCTGTATACTCTTGCGTTCCCCGACGACCCTCTCGCTGCCAAGTTTGGAGTGATCTCACAAGGTGCATCGGCCACCCTGGACCTGGCAACGGCCGGTGATGTTTATCAAGATTTTGACATTGTTGCCAAGGGGCTTGGATGTAATTATGGAGACGACTACGAAGCCGAGCTTGAGTGTATGCGACAGATTTCCTGGGTGCAGATTGAGGAATACATTAACCGCTACAACGCTACGCCTTCGATTGCTTTTACTAACTATATCCGTGAGTTTAGCTTCCTCAGCCTTCGACTGTCGGCTAATCCTGCAATCTAGCCGATGAAAGATACATCTTTTCAAATGAGACCGAGCGATATTCTCAGGGAAAGGTTGCTCCGGGACCGTCGATTCGATCTGACGCCGCCAGGGAGTTTCCGGATCAGAACAGTACATACGTTGCCGAAGAAGAAGGATTGTCCGACTGTCTTGCACGTTCTGACTCGGAGCTTCGCGCGTCCATCGGCCTTGACACCTACCGATATTATTGGGCCGGCAAGTAGACGTTCGTCACCCTAGGTAAATGCTCTGGGGCTAACAATTGTCTTCCCGCAGGAAACTTCAGTAACATCAGCCCAGTCCCCTGGCTCGGCGCCTTTCACTGGACTGATCTCCTCATGATATTCGGCACCTATATGCTGGATGTCGGCAACATCACCGAGCTCGAGGTCAAAACCTCGGAGACGATGCAGGATTTCTTCCTAGCATACCTCAAAGATGCCTCGACAATCAATACCACTGTGGGATGGACTGCATTCAATGGCAGTGCGCCTGGAGGGGGCGTTATCCTTGAGTTTGGCAAGGATGTTCCTGTTCGGAATGTCACTGGGGATTGGCTAGATGGTGGCTGTTGGAATTCTTCGATTCCCTTCCGGATCGATGGGTAGAGCAGCGATGTTGCGAGATGTCATCTGCGAAGCATCTTCCTGATGTAGTAGTTCTGCGACCCAGCGTCCGAGAGAGAAGCAATTGTTGGAAACTGATCGATGCCCTATGTCTTCATATTTTCAACTTCTTTGAAAGGGTGGCTCAATGATACATGTTGCCATAACTCTTGGCTCTTATCTTGCTGACAGATCTGCCATGTCAGGCTTCTGGTTTGCCCTTTGTGAAGATTGCAGAAGTCACTAGGCAGAGGAAATATGAGCGAAGCTTTGGGAGTGTGAGACGGGAGAAGGCGCTTGCCCCTTTTCGGTAATGAGGGACTCCTGTTATGATCCATATCGCACAGAAAGAGTTGTCTTCTTTGACTTCTTTCTCTCACACTGTTACCACACTTACAACCTTGCACTCTTTCTGTCTACATATCAAGCATTACATTCTGATCGTGCATGCCCAGCTACCACCACAGCAGTTTGACCACTACTGCATCTCCTATCACTTGTTAACTCTGTTCTTCACGAGGCAGACGACCCGTGCTGCAGGGTGTTGACATCAACAGTCCCGCAGATGGTTGCCTGGGACAGTATGTTTCCGTGAGAATTTGTGCTCGCAAAGTGGGCTTCTGAGAACGCAAAAACAACAAGATCTGATCGATCGTTCGATCGTTTATGTAGGGGGGATATCTATTTTCATTAATAAGAACATACACACGCTTAGGCTGATCACGCTGCCAAAGATGGCTCAACTCACCCATCTCCCGACCGAGATCATACTCCACATTATCTCTTTTGTACAGTCCTACGGCGATATTGCGGCGTTGGCTGCACAGTCTTCCCATCTCTACCAGGCGTGTGATATGAGGGCCCGTGAGAGGTTCCGCCAGATCCGCATTACAAACAATGCCAAGCATCTTGAGAGCGCCTTCGCGGCCCTGATGGACATCCTGAAACAGCCATATCTAGGCCGCTATGTGCGTCATATTGAGTACTGGGAGCCTGTGACGATGGCCTACCGGCACCCACCCTCCTGTGAATTCGATGCGTCATCACCAGCTGAGGAAGACATGGAAATGATCCGAGCTGCAATCTACAGAGCAGGATTTCCTGACCGTGGGATTGAACCCCTGATTACGATAGTTAAGCAGATCTCCGGTGTCACCCATCGCAGGGAAAAAGAGGAGTTTCATTCAGTCAGTTATCCAGCCAATCATCCAGCCAGGTCAGCCGGCCTCCTCCCTTGAGCTGCAATCATTTCAGTGCTTACCCTCAAACCTAATCTAGGCTTTTTCGTTGCCACGAGCCCCTTCTCGCGCAGGTTCTGACAGCACTTCTTATCTCCGTGGCACCGGAAGTAGAATCCATGGCCCTCTCCCAGCCCTTTCCCAGCCAGATTGTCGTGCCCTGGCAAACAGACCCCATCAACCACAAGCGTATAAGGCTCCCTTTGCATTGGCTTCTACACCAAGTCAACAACAGGGACACGTTCCCGGGTGCCCGAGGGCCGAAGCTCCTGAGAAAGCTTCGCGACGTATACTTGATCGACGAGACGTGCGACACATCCTGGATAGAAGATGAAGCCATTCTTATGACGGACGTCTTTGACTTCATAAATCTCTTTCGCCGTCTTCCATCGATTGAGTCGATTGGCATGGATGGGCTGAGAACAAATGTCGTCGGTAAGCACGGGGTCTCCTTTGCCTCGTCCAATATTACCCGTATCCGGATCGAGCACTCGACGGTCGACAGCATGGACTTGGCAAGTATTATCTGTCTTTGCAAGCAGCTCCGAGAGTTTGGATGCTCCATCGGGGCCGAGTTAGTCGGTGGCGACCTTAGAGGTACATGGACCGCATTTCGAATCGTCTTCCAAGCGCTTTTGGTCCACCGTACAACCTTGGAGCTTCTACATATAGATGCCGCATACATAGATCTTAATACAGATACGGTAGAACGGGTTCTTCTTGGCCTAAGTGAGGATTTCGAAAAACGCGGACAAATGGGAGCAATCCGAATTGCGCATGAGATGGCTTTGATCGATAGGCAAGTGAAGCTGCCGGTCTGGATTTGGGACCAAGCCGGTTCTTTGGCCGACTTCTCCGCCTTGAAGCACTTGGATCTGGAGATTCAGTACCTGTTGTACATGGCGAGGGGGGTGAGGACCGCGAGAGACGATGAATACCAGCTCGCTGATCGGTTGCCGCCCAAGTTGGAGCATCTCCTGATCAACGCATATGAGAAAAACCAGAACGAGAATTTCGACAAGCAGGTGGACTCCTTGAGATCATCGGAGAGAGAGCAGCGTCTCAGCAGCCTGAAGACTATTCTGGGAATCGATCCCACAATCCCGGTGGTCCCGCCATGGGAAGAAGGGCCTGGGTTAAGTGCACATGTGCGTCGGTTGATCGAGGACGTTTCGGATCGGAAGAAGAGCAAGTGAAGCAATTTATCCTTGATCCGAGTATCAGTGATGAATCCCCAGAATTTCTCAGGCATCTGAACACAATCATTGCACTCCTGCGCGAAGAACGCTTCAGGTGGTGAGAGTGATTTAGCGATTGTCTAGGTCTGGGAAGTATTCTGACTTGGGCGATGCCCGTGTACATGTACTGAGTCACACAAGCCGCACCAGAATGTTGTTAATTTCTGCCATAGTACCAAGAATGAATGTATCTTCCATTTCTTTGAACCATAATACACTGTTCTACTGTAATTTGTTACTTGTGATGCTTTGCAAATGTCCGGTCCAGCCCTTAAGCTTTGCAGCCCCGACCCACCGGTACCGTACCCGTACCCGTACCTGAAACAGTGGACCCTGGCCCGTGCGCGCGCAACCCGACAGATTCTTTTCTTACCGCCATAAGTTACAGCCTCCGTAGGGGATTATCAACACACCACAAAAGAACAAGCGCACCGGAAGGTCGAAAACAAAATGAACCCGCTTCGCTACCTCGCCCCTCCGACGCCCTACAAGGAGCTCTCCACGACCAACAAGAAGGGCCTAAAAGAGCGCCTCAGCTACGCCGAGGCCCTAGAGCACCACCCGGGCCTGCAGCTGTCCGCCGAGCAAGCCGAGCTGCTGCACACCTACCAGCAAGCATGCGAGACGCTCCTCGAGGAACCGGGCAACGTCAACGCCGCGATGCGCATGATGCAGTACGAGCAGTCGCTCGAGCCCACTGGCGGCAGTCTCAGCAGCCCCGCCGCCCCCGTCAACCTCTCCTTCGACCTCGCCACCAAGGTCAAGCTCGGCGAGGAGCTCGACAACCTCTACAGCGTCTGGGCCGTCACGCGGTACCGGAAGTACCTGCCCACGGGGATCCAGGAGGAAGCCGCCAAGCACCCGTCCTCGACCGCCGCGGACCCGTGGCACACGGCCTTCTGGACGCCCTTCCACGGCCGGTTGGAGGCCGAGGCCGCCGCATTCAACGGTGTTCTGGCCGGCGAAACCCGGCACAATGAGTGCCCGACCTCGATCCTGTTGATGCTGCTCTGCGACCGCCACACGGTCGACTGGGACGAGACGCGCGCGCTGATCCGCTACGCGGCTGAGGGCGCCGAGGGAGCGATCCAGGGTCTCCCCGAGAGCGACTTCGGGGAGTTGCTGCGCACGAAGGACGTGGCCGGGTTGGCGACGCGGCTGGCCCGCGACGAGTCCGGTTGGAGCTGCTCGACGGAGTATGTGTTGGGCGTCAGCACGCTGCTCATGGGCTTCTTTGCCAATACCCTGGCCGATACGCTGTTCGAGACCGAGGAGGAGCTCATGGATCCCACTAAGTGGGAGCCCAAGAAGGTGCTGCGCGAGCGGCTGGCGTTGGCAGAGGGCCATGAGCAGGCGTTCCGCGAGTTGTTGCAGGAGATGTATGTGCAGATGTTGGTCGGGTCGGATGATGAGGATGAGGCCGGATTTCCCGGGTATGACGATTTCGATGATCTGGATGATGATGAGTGGGAGGAGTTTGAGGGGGATGTGGAGGAGGAGGATGATGGCGATGAGTCGGATGAGTATTAGTGCCTGCCGCTTGATGCCTGAGGATGTTAATTTGACAGCAATGACCATTACATTCCGCCCTCTTCATCTTTTCAAATCGGATTAAGTAGCAATTGGAGTCATCTGTCCCATCGCCATAAAGTCATCGATCACAAAGACTCAGACCCGCGTCACCCACATTAGCTCTCCAAGAAACCCCAGCTCACCCACAGCCACCCCATCCATGCTCAAATCATTCATCGAAATCAAAATCACGAATCTGCCTCCAATCCAACACCATCCCCCTCGACGACGGCCACGCCTCCACAAATCCCTCCGCATAATAGATCTCGTGCTCCTCCGGCCACGCATGCACCAGCTTCGTGACCTCCGTGCTCCGAAGGGCAGCCTCCTTCTCCTCCCCTTCTTTATCTGTTTCGCCAATCCCCAAGCCGACCACATACTCGCGAAGGACTTTCTACCGGAGATGCGCCACGACCACGTTCCCCAGCTTCTTGTACTTGTGGTTCGCGGCGATGAGCAGGTCCGTCAGCTGAAAGGTGCAGATTCCGTCGCTGATGAGGCGGGCCATGGCGACCACTTCGCCGGTTTTTTGCGTTTCTGGGTTGGTGGTGGTAATTTTTTCGGAGGTGGAAGGTGAAGCTGATGCCGTGTAGGTGATGTAGCAGCCGTACCAGCTTCCCCGGAGGGCGGATTCGGCTTGTTGGGCGGTTGGTGATTTCGGGTGTTTCTTGGTGTGGCGGAGGTGGAGGTAGGATTCGACGGCGGGGTAGCCCTGGTGGAGGGTGTAGTTCGGTGGGAGGACGGCGGGCATGGTTTGAGGGTGCGTGAGTGGTAATATGGTTTGGTTTGGGTGTGGAGAGTTTGAGATGCGATTGTGGTTGTGGTCGTTGTACTTTAGTAGTGGTATGTATTATGGAGAGAGTGGGCTGGGATGGGAGAGGGGAAGTATTTTATGAAGGGGCTCGAGGCTGTGTTGTTCTATGTTACGGGGCTTCATTTAGACGTTGCTTCATCCCTCGTTTGACATTATACTTGATTTGAGTTCTGAAATCAATCATAAATGGATCAAAACCACAGTAAAATGCGTCAAATGTCCAACAAATTGCAGCTTGGAGGTACGTTCAGCCAACTGCACCTATACTCAGTTTTCAATTGCACGCAACTCCTCTCATCTCCACACGGGTCCCCAGAAATCATCAGGACCCTGGTACGCTGATTCAAATTTCTGACAACGCGGGTGCTCAAAGTCGTCCCACGACCCCTGAGGCCAGATCGGGATTTGACAAAACTCATCGTCATGACAGCCATGGCACTCCTTCCACACTGTCCAACTTAAATAGTCCATCAGTGATCGCAAGACATCAACCGCGACATCATATTCTTTCGTCTCCAGGACTTCGACAAACGAAGCGCAGATCCGACTGCTAACAGCATAAACTGCGCGGTGGGCAAGCGAGTCATCGGCAGCATTGGCGGGGATGAACTGAGTTGCGCATCTCTCCATTTCTTCGTCAACATCTCTGTTGTCCTGATCGACGAATGTATTCCAAAGGCGTGCAACCTCTGCAACCAGAGAGAACAAGCCGTGATGGTGGTGGTGTCTTGAAGTCAGTTCACGCAGCGGGTGGCTGTACTTCTGGACAATCATATCAGTGATCGCTTGCCAGTTCACCTGTCTGTGTCCGACATCATGCGCCATTACGAGAGATGTGAGGCTCTTGCGGATGGGTTCCAACTCTGCAAATGGAAGGTGGTTAAGACGTGGGGCGGTGCTGTCGTCCGGAAAAAGATTCAGGGAATGATTGTAAGCCGTGACGAAATGATCGTAGTTCAAGACCACCCGCTCACCGCCGATGCCATTGTACCTGGCCCTCATCACTTGGAGGACCTCGGTCGGTTTCCCTCCCTTCTTCTCATTGTCCCCTTTCCTCGGACTAGAAGACCTCACTCTTGCCACGTGAACAGGCTCCAGGTTCTGTTCTGAATTGCATAGAATCACCTCGAACCCCGAAGCCAGCCGAATAACCCCATCCACCCGATCATTCCACTCTTCCCTTGCAATGCGACACACGGCCTCTGCACGCACATTCTCCTGCAAGACGCCACCGTTAAACTCATCTTCAAATAGCACCCGGTCCTGCAGGTCGAGAGTCCCAATCTTGGATTTGCCAGCTGACATCCCATCGATAAGAATGAGGCGAAGATTCTTGGCCGTAGTGTAGGTGTGGAGCCATCCGCCATTGTCTTCCCCGGCTGGTCCATCTTGGTCCCCGCCCATCACTTGTTGAGAGCCAGATGAAGGTTTCGGAGGTGTCTCGGGTCTCTTCGGTCCTGATCGCGCGAAAGCAAATGCATGCTCGGGGTCGAAGGCCAGCCATCGGACTCCGGTAATGTGCTCTGGATGGCCGTCACCGTGGTAGAGTTTGATTCCCTGTGGCATTTCTGCCAGGAAGAATGACATGCCGTTGTGGTTGAGTGCTGAGCCCCATTGTCTCATGGACGAGTGGATGGCGTTGAAGATGTGGTTCGCATTCTGGACAGGTTCAGGGGGAACGCTGTCAGCGGCAAGAGGAGAGGTGGCAGCTCCTATGGCGGAAATCAAGGCGAGAATGCACGACCGATGCATTTTTTAATCTGTGAGAAGAGTGGACTGTATTGATCAATGCAACACATCTGGCTGGAAAGATGTGCCTTTATCTGAGATAAGGGAGTCGATGGCAGACACGCAATGCATGCATGGACATTACCTGATCAGGAAATCAAGGCCGACGGCCTGGAGAGTTGATCAGGCGCCCAGGCACCCAGGCACACTACTCCTGCTCATCATCTTTGTTGACGCGTCATCCGGTCTGTCACCACCTGCTCGCAAAAGCAAGATTGCGATACCATGATCTTCCGTCTTGCATCCGCCGTTATTCCATTCACATTTTATGGTTCTTCATGGCCTTTCTCTGCGAGTACTAACATTCCATTATACGCAAGTTCGCTGACATCCCACGTAATAGCCTGCGAAGGGATTACCATCAACCACCTCTTTTCTAGCCACTTCGACAGTTTCATTTAAGTCACCCACGACACAGCTAGCCGGCTTTATCGATCACTGCCACAATGGCTACCTTCTCTGTGACATACGAAAAGAAAAGAAAACCGCCAATGATGACAATCCATAAGAGTTGTAGGACAACCCTGCTGTATGTGCCAGGCTTTTATCAACCACGAGAATGTCATTCATAGGGCAGACCATTTCTTTCGTTCCTAAGAACCTCCTTCTTACATTTGCCTGCCCCAGTGGAGTTTTATGAGAAGGCTTCGTTCTTCGCTCTCATTCAGTGGCACATTTACCTCCTCCGCAAGCGTGGAATGGATTCTCTCGGTACCGGACTTGCCACGGCAACAAACAGTGGGTTAGCTGCAGGTCTGATTGATGAAAATTCGGGGAGAGAAGCTCATCAAAAATGCTTGGCTCCGGGTCATGAGAGCTCGTCTGCGCGGAAGTGCTATGCTGTGAAGTGTGGGACATCTCACAAATTACATTGAATTGAGCATCGGAATCAAGGGTCTGGCTTCCGAGGTCGAAACCCATCATTTTACGGAAGCTCCGCTCGTGAAATGGTACCGGTGAAGCATCAACTGTGCTTTGTTGAAAGCGACTCACGGGAAAGACTCTTGTTGTGAAATAGTAAGTTTCGTCTTTCCTTACTTCGCTTCAGCGCTCGGAGTAGCATAGTGAAGGTGTATCTTAGTCTCGCATTCACTACTGTCTGCAGGAATCTATTTCTCCGCCGTGCATTCCTTGATGCTCACTTAACTGACCTTCCTAGAAGGGGACATTTGCCGAAAACCGGCATCCAAAGAAAGCCTCCGTGCAAACCATGACTCACGATGCGAGCGATGCCAAGAACATCCGAGCCACTTCATCAGTCGTCTGATGAATACATGAGGTTGTTGCCTGAAAATGCGTGCACATCTCCCGAAAGGGACGTAGCTTGCGAGGATGGGGCCCGAAAAAAAATCAAGCAACCGACGGAAGTGGGCCGCCAAGAAACTCGGGGTTAGATTGGCTCACCACTGCCAAGACCTTGTATACGTCGGCCCAAGGGTCTTTCTAGCCAGTTATACGGTGCTTGATCGCATGCTAAGTGGATCTTATCAGATTGATCAATCGTTCCACGCTCCGAATTATCAATCAAACCTTGCTTCCACAGTGTGGCACTTGTGGGTCTTCGGGGTTTTTCGTCTTGGACAAGACAGAACTTTCTATGCTTTTCGCCCCGTCAGGGAGATGTTGTCAGAAAAGGAAATCTCTGCATGCAACAACCGGGCTAAATACGAAGCTGGCGGGGAAGAGGCCGCCACTATTGACTTTTGACTTGTGGTTCTCTTTCGTCGGCTATATGTCCCAAAAGATGCCTTCAACGGCGCTACACATATCGCACTGGAGTCCACAAGTCCGATGACTGCGAATCTACATGCTGAACTAAATGCATCAGTCTAGATACTCCGAGCCAAGGAGGCATCGTGCAATGATCAAGTGGAGATTGATAACTGGTTCGCTGGAGATTAGCTCGATTTTCTCCGGTGGGTTCCGCCACGCCTGTGTAATGAGCGTGCTCGAATAGGACCCTCATTGCGAGGAAGTGGGTAGGTCCAATATGAGGATTCTGTGCGATATAAAGATTGACTTGACACCCGGACTACGCTGATCTCGGGAGTATCTTGTCCATCAGCCGGCAAAATGAGAGTGACGAGTACACTTCTCCTGATCTTAGCCTGGACGGGTGTCCCTGTCCTGGCAGGAGGGTTTTCTATGTCTGCCCCTGAGCTTGCAGACTACTGCTTCTATGCCATATACGAGTCTCTTAGCTCGTACACGTATGCAGGTGCTACTACAACCAGCTCAAGCTCAACCGATACGTCGACTTCTGAGAGCTCTTCTAGTTCCAACAGTTCAGCAAGCGGTTCAACCTCGCATGGCTCCTCCTCCTCAGGTGCCGTCGTCACAACACCACATGGCTCCTCCTCAAAACGGGCATTCGCAAAGAGGATGGCTCGACGTGGTCATCACGGTAGTTCTTCTACTGGAGGCTGCACGAGCACAGTGGGTGCCATGTCCTTGTATGCCAGTGCGAAGGCGTGGTGTAACAAGAAGCAACTGGAAGCCACCATTCCTTACTGGCAAAGCCTCTGTGAGCAGAATAGTGCTACTCTGATTGATCTGACTGATATCGTTGCCAATGCCACCGATTCTTACATCGCATCTTTGCCAACCATCGACCCTGAAACCAATAGTACGACGACAACCGGCACTATTGAGAGTCCAGTCCTGCTTAGCCACTCGTACTACAAGCGAGCTTATAAATCTTATGTATGTGTTTCTTGAAGAATCCCTGGACTATTCATTGACTGGAAAATGATAGGTCACCCACGATTACGCACTGAGCAAAGACAAACGTTATGGCTGGGGTCTTATGGGCTATTGGGGTGGAATACTGGCTCTTGGCATGATCGTCAAGGCCTGGAAATCCTTCCGAGCCCACCTCAATGGCCCCGGACGTGGCGATTCTGAGAAGAGTGGCTTCTATGCGGCTGGCCGTAACTCTTGCGCACCAGTGGCTGCTGTTACTCACTTCGTCCGGACTCACTTTGTCATTCCTGCCAGCTTTGCCCCGAGCCTGTCCAATCATCAGCAGCTCTTCTGGTTTCACACCATCCCGAAACGGCTAGATCTTCTGATCGTCTTTGGCTGGTGGGCCGTGTGTATCATTCTGTCGTGTGTTGACTACCAGAGTTTCCGCGGGAATATCCAGTACGTTACCATCACAGATTAGCAGAATTGGGTCTGACGAGCAAATAGGACGCCGAGTCTCTACCAACAGAACTGGCAATACTCTTCTGATCGTACGGGAATTCTGTCTTATGCCTGTCTTCCATTTCTTTGGCTTTTCGGTGGACGAAACAACATCTTCCTTTGGGCAACAGACTTCAATGTCCAGTCTTTCAACATCTTCCACCGTCATGTGGCTTGGGCTTGCACTCTTCTGGCTATTGTTCATTCAATCAACTACACTGTGGTTTTTCAGGTCTACGGTTGGTACTCCTCAATGCAGTCATTAATATCATGCTAACAGGCTGGCGTATCAGACGGCAGATATCACAGTGCACTAAAGCAGAATTACTTCTACATGGGTATTGTGGTATGTAATCATTGTAAGCACAATTCTTCTAGAACGCAGCTAACATATCCCAGGCTACAGTGGTGATGTCTGTTATGCTCTTCCAATCCGGCACATGGCTTCGTCAGAAGTTTTACGAGACCTTCTTGATCATCCACGTTGTCCTAGCAATCCTAACCATATACAGTCTATTCCGGTAAGTCTTCCCGGATAACAGCATTACCTCGTGACTAAGAGCGACCAGCCACACCAGCTTTGACGGCACCGTATACAACGGCTACCTTTGGCCGATGGTCGCCATCTGGGGCTTTGACCGCACTGTGCGCTACCTCCGTGTGATCTACTGCAACTGGAACGTCCGCTTCGGCAAAGGCTTCATCAACACCACCTCCTCCACTGTATCCTACAGCCCGGCCAGCGATCTGATCCGCATCGAAATGACCCCCGCCGCCCACAGCCTCACTCCCGCCCCTGGTCAGCACTACTACCTCTACCAGCCCTTGACACTACGCGGCTGGGAGAACCACCCCTTCACTCTGGGCTGCTACAACACATCTGGTGCTGAGGCGAAACTCATCTTCTACATCCGTCCTTACGACGGCTGGACCCGGCGTCTCCGCGACCAGTGCCAGAAGTCCAGGGGTAAGGACTTGACCATCGCGCCTCGGTTGCTCTTAGAAGGCCCCTACGGCCACCAAGTCCCGCTGCACACGTTCGATACTCTTCTTTTGATTGTCGGAGGCACCGGTATCGCCGCGGCAGTTCCCTACATTCTCAACCACGTTTCTCGTCTCGCAGCCGGAGGCAAGACCCGCACCACAAGGATCCACCTCGTCTGGTCCGGCCGTCAGAGACAGATGTTCGATGAAGTCTGCTGCGCGGATCTAATCACTGCGCTGGAGTGCGCGGATATCCACGCTACGCTGTATTGTACGGACAAGAGCAGCATGGGTGCGATGACGACTATTGTCGCCGGCGAGAAGTCCAGCGCTGAAGTCCCGCAGATCGGTGCGGTGGGTGCAGAGGCCAAGGAGGCCGGCCAGTTCGTGCAGGATTCCTCCAGTCAGGAGTCCGGACCCATGAAGGTGGAGGATCTCGGTCTGGAGGTGCGCTACGGGCGCCCGGACATTACGGCTACGGTCCAGTCGGTCACGGAGGAGGCCCGAGCCAGTGTGTCTCGCTTGGCGGTGTTGACGTGTGGTCCGGCAGTGATGGCGGATGAGTGCCGGATGGCGGTCTATGGGGTGATGAAGGGGGGATTCCGCCAGGTGGAGTACTTCGAGGAGGCTTTCGGATGGTAGACTGGGTTGAATTTCTACTTTACTTCTCTATGGGGGTGATGGGGGATGACTTATGATGTACTGGGTATCCTTTAATGCAGGTAGTTATGTTTATAGCTCTAATAAAAAGTTTATGATGTTACTCAAGCAAAACAAGGGCTTCTCTCGCCGACAGATGCACTAAGATTGATTCTTGGCCTGCCACATCTACATTGATAGCCTTGTGATGTAAGCCAACTATGTAGCGCGAGAATTACATATTCTAGGCTCCCATAACTTGTGCCACATGATTAGACGTACGAGTCCATGGAGTCAATGCCATCCCAGACCGGTGATGAAAGTTTCCATTTCTATCTATCTGGCCAGTGCCCAACTCCTGACTTAGCGAGGGAATCAAAGGAAACCAGAGCCGAGATATCGGAAGCGCACACTGCTGGCACTCGCAAACTGCATCCCGAAACGGCTGGGTGGGGCCCCCGTGTAGGGCTGCCAAGAGATCCGAGCCACTCGTCCGACCGGGACCACTATCCGTATTGAATTCGCAAGGTGGTACCCAGATCAGTCTTATGCGGATTTCGTTTTTGCGTTAAGATGTTCTGTCCGTTTGGTTCATGTCAGCCACCGTGGGAGATAATGAGCCGGTGGGGAGGGACCTATGGGCTACCAGACTGTATTTATGGTTATAGCGTTCCAATCCGCAACAATCACCGTTCACCGAACACGCGCATTCCGGAAGGAACAGGAGCAGCCGGGATTAGGGTTATGAGATAGCCTCCTGTGTCATGCTTTACTTTGGGTTGTCAGACATTAGAATTGACAGTCCTGCAACAATTTCCGATATGGTGTAGTGGCTAACATCGCCGTCTCTCACACGGCAGCCGGGGGTTCGATTCCCCCTATCGGAGCACATTCTCTTTTGCTGTATCGGTTTATGTTTTGCCTCTTCCTCCTCGGATTTCTTGTTCTGGTTCATATTAGCACCTTGAGCAGGATCTTTACATGCAACATCCGATATGGTGTAGTGGCTAACATCGCCGTCTCTCACACGGCAGCCGGGGGTTCGATTCCCCCTATCGGAGCTTATTCTCTTTTGATATTTTTGTCTGTAATTTCGCTCGGGAGCCAACCGAGCTAGGGTGCAACGTGCGGCGGGCAGAAGCCTAGATAACAGGTATATTATATTCACCTACTTTTAGCCGATATCTGCAAGCATTGCAGCTTCCCTTTTCCTTATCTCCGAAGTCAACTTTGCCTTTTATCCCATGCGCGGAGGCTGAGAGAGGAATAGAAAGGCAGACGTCGGATATCATGAAGCCGGTCCGGGTTAGATATATACACGGCTACTGCCGCTTCATCCCTCCGTGTAGAAACAATGAGACTCGAACAATTGATACTAAGCACGCTAAGTTGCAACCAATTTACAAATAAACCGTGGAGAAGTGCATGTCGTGTTTGTATATGCCATGCTTGAAAAGTATCGCACAAATTGAATCCAGATTAACGTGTTTGCCAGCCATCATAGCACAAAATACTCTTCACCATCATCCTGCTGCTAGCCGCCTGTCCCGAACCGCCTTAGTCAAATTGTCACTTACCTCTTGACATTTTAAGACACTAGACACAGTCAGTATCATCACCGGACTACAAAAATATCTTTCCCTGCTCCCTCTTCCTTCATTATCCCCACCGTAGGCTCTCAATCACCCGGTACTCTTGTGCCTCCGACATGGATGCTAGAGTCGAGCATATATCTCAACCCCAGAAAGGCAATTGCAACTTGACAACACAACCGTGCCAGCATAGCGCCCAGCACCCAGCCCGTAGACCGTGGCAAATATTCAACCCCCACGCGCAACAAAAGAGCAATAAGAAAAATCCCCAAAAAGTCGAGCCCGAAGGCTTCTATTCTCACTCCGATAGGGGGAATCGAACCCCCGGCTGCCGTGCACCAAGGAAATTGAGAGACGGCGATGTTAGCCACTACACCATATCGGACGTTGCATGGAAAGAGCCTGTTCAAAACGCCACTATGAGCCAAGTCAAGCCCCCCAGATAGAAAAGGCAAAACATCAGTCTACCGCAAAAGATAATGAGCTCCGATAGGGGGAATCGAACCCCCGGCTGCCGTGTGAGAGACGGCGATGTTAGCCACTACACCATATCGGATGTTGTATACAGTGTAGTTCAAACTCTGCCAACACGTTCCTAGATACAAGCTCAAGTCATATCATCAGCAGAGTAGACGACCAGATTGCTCAGCTTGCGAAAGTCATTTGCTCTCCGCAGCTGCCACGACATCAAAGAGCGAAAGTCGAAACAACGTTCAAAGGAAAAGGCAAATAAAACAAAGAGCAACGGACAGAACAAAATAGGTTATGAAGCAAACAGAATCCGATTGCTTCCTCCGGCTGAGGTGGTGCAGATGGTCTGCCGTGCTCGACACCGACCACCGTTGAAGTGTGGAAATTCGACATTTCCAAGGCACATATTTTCCGGCACAAGAATCGTCACTCTACTTCTCTGCACGCGCCGTATTCGGCTTCACGCGTGGGTATAGTGACGCTATGTCGTATAAAAGACGACCACGAGACTGGCGGATTCCCCCAGCTGAGAACCAAAGACGTCCCATTCCGAAACATGCGGTTTCCCCCTCGATGCCAGGGCAAGCTCTCCAGCACGACACTGGCTGGTGTCGGTTTGACGAACGATGTGTAGCAGACACCCTGCAAGCTCCGACTCAACAATCGACATCCGCCACGCCGAGCTCGCATCTTGTGGTTCGCCTCGCGAGGCCGAAACAGGAGGCCATTAACATCTGGCCTACATCGCGGGTACCTATACGCCGTCTGGAGACCGCTTCTCTGCCTATCTTTAGGGTTGGATGAGTAACGAGCATCCATCGACGCACTGCTTGTAATTTGACGATGGGCGCTTTCCATCACCTGATTCCATTCTGCTGTCCTCCCCTCGAGCCCTTGGTAAGCCACATGCATTATATTGTGGGGAAGGCGCACGTATTCTGCCCCCAGAACTGAGGCCTTGATGCGACAATCTGAGAAGTAGCGTTGAATACCATGTGTAAAGGTGCTCTGGAGGCCTTTCACTGATGCTTTGCCGAGTGTGTACGGCAACAGCGTATATCCGGCGGCTAATAATTTCTCCTCCGACATCGTCGGTCTCAACGATGCTGGAACCTCACCGATGGCTATCTTCATATAGGCATTAAGTGATGTTCTCTCAGCGGACTAACTGGTAACGGCTTCCCACACAAGAATTGCGAATTCGGACCCTGTGAAGAATATGCGCGCTCGGAGGATCCGAAACACGAAAAGTTGGAAATGCGGAAAACAGCCAAGGTCGGCAATACAGAAGGAGAACAAGGCGTCAGAGAAATAGTAATACCAATCCCACTTTTTTTTTTGTTTAGCCGTGAGCGGCACTTCAGACGATTTGGAGGGCTTTGTTGGTTTAGTTGCTGCAGACGATTTTGCTGGTGTGGCTGGCTTAGCTTTCTTGGGTGTAGTAGTCTTTGCTGACTTCTTGGACCATTTATGCACTTCCCTGGCAGTTGGGACGGGGTACGGTTCATCATCGTTTGTCAGATCTGCGAGGGTGATGTTGCAGTTCAGATTTAGATTTTGATCTGGTTGGAGGGATTTGAAGCTTGTAAGCTGATATCCGTCTTTGTCATATACCAATACTGTAACTATCGTCTTCTTTGGTGTACCAATGGGGACTCATGATCTGAGATTTTCATTCGTCTTCTGTGTCTAATAACTTGGGCTTCAAGCCGAGACAGTCGAGGAAAACGTCTCCCTTTTCAGACTTGTCGTAATGAATAACAGGACCGATTTGAATATCGGCCGGAAGTCTTGTTTCGTGGTCTGAGAGTTCGTTGTAGTATGCCGGGCGGCTTCGTTGAAGCGCTTCTTCCGAAATGTCTTTCTCTTGGCGCGATACTTTGTCCCAGGTTCCTTTTTCTTCTGCATATCGAGTTGCCATTTTTGGAAGAATTGACAATTCCTTCCTTCTCCGCCTGGATGTACATCTGATCAACCAGTCGAGCGTTTCGTCCAAATGCCTATTGGCGGCGCCATTGCCGGACAAGCTGGCAGACTCATCATCCTTGGGGGGGGGCGGGGGGTCGGGCTTGGTGCCAGTCTTGGAGACATCAGTGGTATTCTGGGAGGGCTCGAGGGTAGCCTTGAACGTGCTAGGGGTACTGCCCAGGATGCTCATGCTAGGTGGGCTTTTGTCCGTGCTCTCGGTTTATGTCTCTGAGCGAAGTGGCCCGAATCAGGGCGCAAGCGGTAAGGGGCTAACACGGGTAGCGAAGTCCTGGATTCTCGCTGCCATAGGGTTGAGTTTGTGTCACACCAAGTGTTCGAGGATGGTACCTCAATTGTGCCTCCGAATCCTTCGAGGTCGTCTGCCTTTGCTTTCTCGTGTATGACCTGATCTCTCCACGTAAGTCGGCGTCGATAATCCGTTGACAACAACGGCGTTGGGCCCCGCAGGGCGCGCCCGAAGCGCATTTCCAACTAAATACAAAAAAAAAAAAGGCAAATAAAATTGATAAAGGAGACCGTAGTTAACGACGCCAGTACAACGCCAGTACGACGACAGAACCCAACCTCATCCGAACCCTTCGAAAAAAGCGAAGCCGCAGACGCCTCGAGGCGTCCGAGGCGTGCGGGGCGTGCGAGGCGTCCGCGGTCAGTACTTGACGTACTCAGCGCGGTAGATGTAGATGTGAGATAGACGCTCCGCTTCGTCTACCTCGCCCGCGGCTACGGTCTGCCCTAAAGCGACGATCACGATCACGTCCTCGAGCGACTCGTCTACCAATGACTGCGGTAAATGGCCAAGCCATCCCTGTCAAAGACAACGAGGATGCGGAAAGCTTACGGGCGTGCACCCACGGGCTCCGCGCTTGTGCATGCGGCAGCGTGAACAGTAGGTCTCCCCCACCGCCGAAGCGACGAGGCGGGCTCTGAAATCGCTATACACATGCGAGCAGGTATGAATGGTGAGACCACTTCCTGGAGTCGCACCAGACGCGCGAGCACGCCCCTCTGGTTGCGCGAAGTGTGCAGCCGAGTTGCGGTTGCATGGGACACCCAGAACAATAACCTCAGAGTTGTCAAATTGTTCTTGGACCGCACTGCCTGTGATACGCGATCCGCTTGAAGTGGTTAATCTCCACTGCTCCATGTTGAGAAAACTCAGAGTTACCTGGTCGATTATCGATGCTTGCGCTTTTTCCTTGCTGCGACGGCTTATCGTCGAGAGACTTGCCATTCTTGACTTCGAGATATCCACAACAAAGCTGCAAAGAAGCAAAACATCAAGGTCTTATAGCAGCACAGTCTAGCCTTCTTTGCCTCGTGTGTCTTCACTGCAAGATGGGTAAGGCATAGTGAAGCCAGTAGACAAGGCAAGGAACGTCCCGCAAAGCACAGCCCAGATCATTCCACCAACGTAGATCGTAGGCCTCGGAAGGGTCATGCAGACCTGACTCCAATTCAAGCCCCAGACCAACACCCAAGGAAGAAAAAGATCAACTCACTGCATGGAACGGTGGTGCATATAGAAACAAAGTGCTTTATATTTCCGTTCGAGTGCTCGTTGAGGATATCTGTCACGAAAAATTCTGCGCTCTTTCGTCTGTGACTGGGGCGCTTTGGCCATCCATCAAGACCACTATGCATATCGGACAAGACAGCTGTGAATAAGTGGCTGGCTATCCATGTTGGAACAAAGGAACCCGAGTTAGAAGAAATTAAGGCCGACCGAGCATTGAGAACCAATGAACACAAGGTTCTTCTTTTTCTGTCATTTGATCCGCTGGTCTCCGAGGTTCTGCACAGACACGCTCATTCTCGTATATTCGCTTGCGAGGTCCACAGCCTGCAAGGACTAGCCATGGCGCCCCCGTAATTCACAAAGAACGGCCGCGCACTAGACCACGCGACTGTAGTGGCTATGCCATGTAATCGCCAACTTTTTGACGACCAATTCTGTTGCCGCCAGTTCGGCTAGTTGTATGCCGTGGCATTCCGGTCCACGGTACTGCATGGGCAGATTAAAAGCTGCCATTACCATGATTAGACTGTTATCTGTCGATAGATTACTGTCCATTTGACAGACCGCACTTTCCATTCCGTCCTGCTAAGAACTTCATCTGGGAGGAGGGGAGTTTGTCAGTGAAGCGTCGATGGGGAGTGATGGCGTGGCTCCATGATGAGCGACAGCAGTGAGCTAAGGGATATGATCTTATTCTGCACATACTTCTAGAATCAGGGAAAGGACTTGCAAAGGCCTAGCTCCAACCTTTCCAGGGGCAAAGCAGGAAAAAGAGCCGAAAGACAACCGAAAAGGCTCAGCAGAACGGGCTTCGCTGGATCCGTCTTCGTCGGACCTGGTTCGCAGCAACACGAGTACTGTATTGATTACCAACATCACCAACTTCAATTGTTCATATAAGAGGCTGATTGTTCCTGCCAACCAATTCGATAGTAGTCGACCTTATTGATATATGCTGAGTCATAGGTGTTCAGAAACGGCATAACCGAGAATCCATCCAAGTTCGAGTGGTCTGATTTTGCGCCGCTTGGCCCAATAATCGGATCCCAGGAGAGTTGGATCTGCTATTCTTGCCCGATGATATGGCTTCATTGGTGTACACTGAATCGCCATTGCTTCCAACTTCGAATGGTCTTGCGGCGAGGTTCGGACGGTGGTGGCATACTGCGGGATTGCTTGACCCGGCTGGCTCATCGGTCCCGAGAAACTTGCCCTAATTCGTATGTCCGCCAGATGAGCGCCCCTCTACTATTTTTTAGCTGACTCCATACTTGATCTTGAGCTGTATGCTTCATGCCCGGGAGTTAGGCCAGGCTTTACGCTTCCAAGTTGAAAGTCTTGGCTCTGGCGTCTCATTAGCACCCTCATCGACCTTACTGAGGACTTCGTGCAAACCTTCATCACCTTCATCACGAGTCCTATCGCCTTCCTCAGTAACCCGCTTACAGCGATTTTGCTTTTTTTGAGGCGTGTTTCAGAGTTGGAATTGAGAGATCTATTTCGTTTCGCCGTTGGTGTTTGCCTGCTCTTCTCAGATACCCTCTCATGAATGTCCTTTCTGCTGATATGAGTCATTTGGTTGACGCTGGCACGAGTCTCCTCATCATCACATGTCATTAGTATTGCCAAGATTGCAACAGCGCGTTTGCCCAGTCTCGTTCCAATATTCGGGCTCGGGCTCTGGCGAGCGGAAGTGGACCACGTGGTGCGGTACAAGCAATTAGAAAGAAGACCCTGTCAGCTAGTAACGAAGCCGGTCTCCAGTCGTATCGGTAGAGATTCATTGCTGATTCTGCTCTCTCGACCTTTGCGTGGGCAAGTTGTTAGGCCCGGCTTCTGGAGCTCGTCTGTATCTCTCGGCTGAAATCTCTCGATGTAGTCTTTCTCCATCTCAATCCCCCTCTGCCCCCTCTCTGGGGCAAGGGACAATGACAACGCCCCTACCTCAGGATGTTGCTGTAGCCTAATCGATGGCTTCAGGATGGCTTCAGTCTCTCTCGCACGCCTGTATTCGAGTATTGTTCCATAGGTATTGTACGCGTTTTCGCTTTTGGCGTTTCCTTCCCACAAACTTTGCTTCAAGATTGCGAATATGCCGCTTCTAACATTCACCGCATCGAAGTCCGCCAGGAAACGGAGCTAGGTGATGTCGCATCTTTCCAATTCCAGTCTGTCATTGATAGTAGGACGAGTTCATGCATCGCGCAGCAATAACCGAGGATATTGGAGGTCTCGCTTTCCGTTCGAGAATTCGACCCGGCCACCCCTGATACATGAGTTGGCACAAAGCCACACATAGCTTAAGTCGTGGCTTGAGACAGTCGTGTCGAGGTCAATCTCCTTGTTCCGTTCTTCTTTGTCCTCACAGACCTTCCTGATCTTCTTCCGACTTTGCTCGATTCGTTGACACCGGGGATGAATGAGCACCCGTTCTCCCTTTTTTTCTTTTCAATCGTTTCTATCGAGCTGTACGCATCCTTGTAGCGTGGACTCAAGGCATTTCAAAATGGCAAAGGTTCTTGATTCCACGACATATTATGGCCAGGGCCCATTGCCTCCCTGAGTCTCTGCGCAGCACTCTCCCCGCTCCCATAAATAATCTCCTTTCCCCGCAGGGATTTCGCCTCCTGGTAGTACCAGTGCCCTGTAGTTGCAGAACCACAACCTATGGCCTCCCCGCTTGTTGTTGCAGGGTGTGGGATATTTATCTTGCCGCAAGAACTGACTCTGGGCTCCCTGGGCCAGTCTTTGTGTGCGATAGCCATAGCCAGCGCGTCGAAAGGTGCAGCCATGCCGAGTAAGGGTCTGAGCACTGCAAGGAGATTAGCGACTCCTACTTTCTTGGCATGTGGATCGAAGAATATTCAATCCGGACCCCTGCCAGCAAATGTCAAGCTCCGTGTGTAGTTGGAGAGAAATGGTAGACACATCATATCCCAAGACGTTGAGTGCAGCATGTGCAGGCACCCGATTGGCTTCCGACCCATTACAACAATCGCCAAGTTCGCGTAGAGACACAAGGACATATTGGCATGCCCTTGCGAGCCGCGCCGTAGACGACATCTTCTTTGGTAGTGACACTGTCTGCAACGCTCTCCGTGTTATAGGATAGTGGAGCTTCTTGTGTCTGCGCCGCAGTGTTTGATCATCTGCGTTCAGGCCCTGCTTGAGTTCAGCTTTCGGCTAGACGTGACGGTGCCTTCGTTTGGTGAAATACTCTCCACTGGATGTATTTGGCGGCGGCTGCCGGCCAGCTCGAATCACGAGGATGCCCTCGCCGAGTTGGGCCCGGACAGCCGGCTGCCTGGGGTCCGACCACCGAATGTACGGCACAGATCGCACAATGGGCTCGCGGATCCAGGCCCGCTCGCGACCCGATAGGGGCTGCGAACCTGTCCAGGGTGGGAGGCCGGGCACCACGGCGGGTGTCGCCTCCGAATGACCTGAAAACCAGGCCGCGGGGGGGTAGGAGGGATGGCGCTGCGGCGGCGACGACGACGGTGGGGGTGAGATTCATGATCAAGAGCTGGGAATGAGAAATCGCCGCCTCTCGGCTTGTCTCGCGGCTCAAAATAAGAGAGAATTATTGTGCTAGGGGTTGGGCTGGTGGGCTTCGCCACACCATACATGTCGAGTGGAGGATTGATTTGGAG